TTAGAAAAAATTAAAAATTTCATCAAAAGCAAAACGTAATACAAATATGAAATATATATATGAATCAATAAGTTTTTATATTTTTTTTATAAAGAGTCGACAAAAAAATAAAAACTCTAGTTTGATTCGAGGGACTCAATCGAATAGAACAGTGGACTTGACAATTTCCATTTAATTGGTAAGAAAGTATTAATTTTGATGTTTTACTTAAAGATTCAACATCTATTAATTAATATTGTCAAAATTATAAAAAAATTTAGATAAAAGTGTAGGAAGGAGTAATTTTCGTTTTCTCCCCTTCTTCTTCATCATGTTCCTTGGAACCAAATTGGTCACTGGCCATTAAATTAGTCTGCCACTGTGGTTTATTTTAACTCGACTGAATTTATTAGCGTGACCATATATATATTGGCACTTTCAAAAAGATTTCCTGACACCACTTTTATTTATTTTATCACTTAATTTGATTATTTTCCTTTATTATTTTTGGAAAGCTATCCCATCCTTTTATCTTTTTGGGGATTTTTATTTTCATAATGCCATATTTATCTTTAAGATTTTAAATTTTGATAAGATAGAAAAATTTATTTAAAATTTGACATTTAATATATGCTTTATCTTTATCCACACCTACATCATTAATATATTATATTTACTAATAAATATATTATTATTGTGAACAATTATTATAAATATTATATACCACAGAAATGATTACAATTTGAGACCTCTTATTATTTACTTCTTTTACAAGATGCGAAAAAATTAATTAGATTATTCTTGATGTTTATATAATATTTGGACTATATCAAGTTTATACAAATAACCTAAATAAAATAATTTTCAAAATTTTCTATTATTTTTTTAAATTATGTGATAAATTTATTTATACTTTTTTAAAAATCACAAATAGCTTATAAATATTTTTTTGAAAATCTTTTAAATATAATTATAATAAATTTAGTTAATAATTTCTATTCATAAAATGCATTAAAATTGAAAATAACAATTTCACTTTCAAAAAAAATGTATCATATATGACAGTATATAAAAAATTAGTTATATATTTAATAGTGATTTTTAAATTTTAAGAGCAACCACTATTCAAATTTTACTAAATAACAAACATTCATTACTAATCAGCTACTAACTATGAGCAACCAATTAAATAAGGTTATATCTATTTTTTTCCAATAGTATTAAAAGAGCATTAAAACTACTATTCAAAGGGAAGTATCCTTTGCTTGGTAGCAATTTGCAATCACAAAGTCCACTTTCACGTATTTGAGTGAGCATAATCACCTAAATATTAGTAAAAAAATTTGAAATGAAAAATATAAACTCCAAGGTTTAAAAAAACATACTACTTTTTATGAATTCAATCCAATCAAAACAATAACAAAAACTATAAGAAAAATGCACGCGTAGGGATATTTTAATAGTAAAAATATATACGACATGACAATATATTTGGATTTGAATCTCTTTTTCAATAAAAAAAATCATAAAAAAATAAAAAATAAAAAATAAAAATATGTCTAGAAAACACATATTTGTTAAGAATTTGGGCATTAAGAATAATTAATCAAATTTAAAAAAATTTTATTTATTAATTTGAGTTTATGTTAATTTCGACTTATAATGAGTTCGACTTAGTTTTAATGTAAATTATCCAGACTATTTTGAGTGGTTCATCTTCCTCGTTGTATGTCATTTATTAAATTTATATTTATCCAACGTGAGATTACCCACATACTTCTTACGCTTTCCCAAGTAGTAATTATGCCACTTGATAAGCATAGGATGGTCCAACATGGGTCGATTTAGGTATGACCTACATGAGAACTTCTCTCATGCAATACAGATTTTGGTCCCAGACCCTAATACCATATTAAGAATCTGAACCCTAGCTAGAAGCAATTAATCAAATTCATCAATAATTTTATTTATTAATTTTGAGTTAATGATGAATTTGGATTACTTTAATACAAAATAATAATAGTTGGTTCACATTTTTCCTTATATGCCTTTAACTCGATTTATATTTATTGAATGTGGAATGTCCCACATTCATCTTACAAATATTACGTTAAAGATCTAAATATATACGAGTTTACTCTATAGGAACATTAAATTAAATAAAGAGAAAAGAATCATCATTAATTAAAAAAGATGGTTGGTAAAACATATTAAATTTGAAAAAAACCACCCAACAAAAATAATTAGAGAGACAGCTACTAAGAATGGGCATTTAGTGGTCAAAAAAAAAAAAAAAAAAATCGAACCAATCTTTTATCAAATAAACAAATTTTTAAAAATAATCAAATCAAACCAATTCGATTATGCTTTATTCATCGTTTGGCTTTCTCGTTGCATTTTAATTTAAAAGCCGAATTAAACCAACACTTTTTCAGTTGTTTTCCATAGGAATTGAAATTAATCAATACTTCTTCCATTCCAATATATTTTTGTTACAATTATATTTTTAAATCCCTTTAGAAATTAATCAATTTGTCTAAGCTACAATAAATTGTACTATCATTAACTTGTCTAAGTTATACTATCTCCGTCACAAAAAGATAGTCTAATTTCTGTTTTCACACAGATTAAGAAATAACAATTATTATGGTTTAAAGACAATTTTATTTATATAACATTCCTATTATGTTCATCTTAAATAATACATGAGCAATTATTATATTGGAATACTACTTCCATTCCATAATACTTGTCATATTTGAGAAAATAGTTTGTTCTAAAATACTTGTCACATTTGTGGTTTACCGTTTATATATGACCAATAATTATTACTTTAATTTAATGGTTTTCTTAGAGAACTATTGTTAAATTAAGGGTAATATAGTCAATTTACTCAATAATTTATTGTAACTTACTTGTCATATTTGAGTGAAAATAGTTTGTTCTGAAAATACTTGTCACAATTTGTGTGGTTTTTACCGTTAACCAATAATTATTACTTTAATTTAATGGTTTTCTTAGAGAACTATTGTTAAATTAAGGGTAATATAGTCAATTTACTCAATAATTTATTGTAACTTAAACAAATTTAATATTTTTTTAAGGGATGTAAAATTTCAAATATGATAAGTATTATGGACCAAAGGTAATAGTAAGTAAGAATTAATGAGGGTTATTTAAAATAAGATAAAATTTAATAAGGGTATAATAGACAATTTATGGATTAACTATAATACAAAAAACCAAATGAACTATATTTTGCGATAAATCAAAAAGAAAAGATTGACTATCCCTTTGGGATAGAGGGAGTAACAAATTATTGAGGAAATGAAACAATCAGTATTAGTTATATACAAAGTGTAAAAATAGAAAAAATAATTTATTATTTATGAAATCTACAATATAATACTTTTTTAAATGTGAAAAATATTTGGCAACAGACAATTTTATGAAGGAGAGTTTATTATATATACTTTTCTTGAGTATCTAAAAAGTGAGATTCGAACTTGGTTCTATTGTCAGGTCGTCATGCACGTACTGCTAGGCTATGTCTTAACGTGCTTATTATATATACTTTTATCATTTTATAATTTAATTAAATTTCAATTTTTTTTAGATGAATTAAATTTTAATAATTAAAACATTCCTGATATGAACTATATATTGAGGGTTGACCACTCCCAACAAAGGGGGATCATTGGACAAACTAAATATATAAATTAGTTTCAACTAGAGTTGGAATTTATAATCTCATTTTTTTTTCTTTTTTTTTTCTTTAGGAATAGAATTTATAAAGTTTATTCATATAGTTTATAACTAATTCATATCTAACAACTTACTTTTGAGTGCTTGATAGGCATAGAGGGTTTTTAGTTTAGCTTACTCATGCAATTGATAGTTGCTAGGACTCCCCATTAGTTGCTCATATGAGCCAATAGTTTATTTGTATTTATATTATATTTAAACTACATTAATCTCATAAAAATAATTGCTAATAATTTTTTTTCAAATTAATTTTTTATGAATATATTATTTATAGTTATTTAAATATTTTTAATAAATATTATTTTAAAAATTTTAATTAATATTTTTATTTATATCATACATTAAAATGAAAAAAATATATTCACTTTAAATTAATATATACACACATTATACATAGTAATATATAGAAATAATTGTACCTTTAATGATCATTTTATAATTATATCCTTAATGTTCCTTACACACACACACATTAGATAATAGGATAATATATTATATACGTAATATAATCACACACTCACTCGTTATATACCGTAATATATAAAATATGTATCAAAATTTTACTATCATCAGCTAATTGTTATTAACCATTACTTATTAAGAACCGCTACTAGTTATCAGCTGGTATGAACCTATGAATCAAAATTAAAATTTACGAATGCTTCAATCTTTTAAAATTTAAAATGTTTATAAATGTCAATAGACAAGTATGGTACATAAAATATTAAATAATTATTATATAGAAGATTATAAATTATATATAGGGACTAAAGTTACTGTATTAGCTAACAAGTTTATTAGAATTAAAAATTGATTATTTTATAGATTATTGTAGTTTTCCATAATATCAAAACCTTTTTTTTTTCTAAAAAATATCATGATAGAAGGTATATTTTCAAAATATATTAATTTTTAAGCAGGGTAACAATTACAACTTATAAGCTCATTAAGCCCATTAAAGGATAGAAAGTGACGGGTCTGAGAATCCAACACATCACCGTTAATCATTTAGCTAAGAGATGATTACCTTTTTCACCTCTTCTTCCAAGATAACCAAGCTACAATCATCATATTAGTATGATTAAATACACATTAATAATAGTGTCAAAGAAATATAATTACATACAATATTTATTATGTATATATTGTATATATATATATATATATATATATATATATATATATATTATATATATGATTCCTGTGTTATTTTTTTTACTATATATGATTCCTGTGTTATTTTTTTACTTCTCCCTTTCTCTCTCCTTCTCTGGGTCTCCGTCTCTCTTTCTCTCTTCTGCACCCCTATTACATGTAGTAAAGTTCTAGGTCATAGACTAGCTCGGTGGACTTATTTCCTATGCTTTCTCTGCAACGAAGAAATTTTACCTAATGTAATTATGTTTGCAAAAGACTGTTTGCTCCCTCTCTCTCTTTCTCTCTCTCTCTCTCTGTCAGTTCTTGTAGCCCTCTCTATATAAAGAAATTGGATTCCAAATTTTGTTCCTATAAAAGAGGTAAGGTTTCTCACCAAGGACAAAATTTGGTAAAAGACCAAGTTTAGTCCATGGCTGGTGGGTTTTGGCTTGGAGTTTTGGTTGGACTTGTTTTTCCTCTATTAGGTCTAATCTTGAATCATTTCTTGCCCATGTTCTTGAAGCATGGCGATGGTTGCCATGTCCCTAAAGGCTCATTTGGCTGGCCAATACTTGGTGAAACCCTTGGTTTTTTAAAGCCTCATCCTTCTAATTCTCTTGGAAAATTTCTTCAAGACCACTGTTCTAGGTAAGAAATTTCTATACCATCCTCTATAACTCTCTACTTATACCATCTTTTGGAGTTCAAAATCGTAATTTTACATTATCAGAACAATATAAGAAAAAGACAGACACTCGTTTATTAAATTATTAACGAAATATTTATTATTATAGGTATATAATCAGCTTCTTATTTGTATTTTTTTGGGATTTTTCAGGTATGGGAAAGTGTTCAAATCCCATTTATTCTTCTCTCCAACGGTGGTGTCCTGTGACCAAGAGTTAAACTACTTCATACTTCAAAATGAAGGAAAGCTATTTCAATGCAGTTATCCAAAGCCTATCCATGGCATTCTTGGAGATGTCTCAATGCTTGTAGCTGTGGGTGACACTCATAAGAGACTGAGAAATGTAGCCCTTTCTCTTGTCACCATTACTAAATCAAAGCCTGAGTTTCTTAATGATATAGAAAGAACTGCCATTCAAATACTTAACTCTTGGAAAGACAAACAGCAAGTAATGTTTTGTGAAGAGGCTAGAAAGGTATATTATTATTTTCTTTAACAAAATTCAAGAACCTGATCATGTGAATTTCTTTGCTTAATATATATTTTGCTTAATATATATATATGATAATATATATATATATATATATATATATATATATATATATTATATAATGTTTCTTATATATATAAATGTTTCTTGAACTTTTATTTTTATTTTCTCTTTGTTTACAGTTCACATTCAATGTAATAGTAAAGCAAGTTTTAGGCCTAACACCAGAGCAGCCAGAAACTACAAGAATTCTTGAAGATTTTCTCACTTTTATGAAGGGACTTATTTCTCTCCCACTCTATATTCCTGGAACTCCATATGCTAGAGCTGTTCAGGTATATATTTAATATAAAAAAATATTTAGTCTCTTATTTATTAATTTATTTAAAAATATAATCTGCATGTATTTAGCAATGGAAGTTCTAACTTCATAATATCTTGAGACTCTTTTTCTATAAAAAATTTCTGATACATAATAAAAATAGAAAAGGGAAAAAAGATCGGTAGCTAATAATTAGATTTATTTATTTACTACAAAATAAAGAATATAATAACAGTGGGTTTCAATAATGATAGGGCAGCTACTACAGGTTCTTTTTTGATGCAAAAAGAAGGCATGTGATCACTTTTTCTTGAACTATCTTTACAGGCTAGAAGAAGGATATCAACTACTGTCAAAGCAATTATAGAGGAAAGAAGAAGAAGAAGAAAAAAAAGAAATAATGAAGAAGAAGAAGAAGAAGAAACTGATGATGATGGTAGATCAAAAAGGAGTAGTGATTTTCTTGAGATACTTCTATATGTTGATACCTTATCTGAAGATGAAAAAGTTAGTTTTGTTTTAGATTCTCTGTTGGGTGGATATGAAACCACCTCTCTCTTAATGGCTATGGTTGTCCATTTTTTAGCTCATTCACCCACAGCATTACACCAACTAAAGGTAATTAATAACTAATAACAATAATTACCTTCCTTTCCTATGTGCCCAAGCTCACATGTTCTAATTTAATTAATTGCTTAATTATTTAATTAATTATATACTTTCATATTATTACACAGCTGGAGCATCAAAAAATTAGAAGCATGAAGGGCGAAGATGAGTTTTTGAATTGGGATGATTATAAAAATATGGAATTCACTCAAAATGTAAGAATTATTTTTATTTTTATTTTATTGTGGGTTTCTTTTCCTTTTTTTTTTTCCTTTCCTTCTGTCACAACTGTTAGATTTAGCCATGCTAAATTTGCAATGATTATACACAGCATGATATATATTTTTTTCTTGCTTTATATTTCTTTTTTTTTCCTTTCTGCTGATATTAATTAATTAATTAATTAATTTGTAGGTCATCAATGAAGCACTGAGATATGGGAACATCGTAAAATTTGTGCACCGAAAGGCTCTCAAAGATGTCAAATTTAGAGGTTATTAATTAGTATTTTAGTTTTTAATATTTACTTTACACTTAATTGTCATACATCACCTTTTGAATTATATTATATAATATGCACATTTATTTTCTATTTTTTTGTCAATGGAAATTTTACTTTTCTTAGTTAATTTTGGTTCATAATTGCTACTTCTCTTCATTTTATCAATTGAGATTTAATTTTTAAAAATAAATTATAAAAATAATTTTTTAGGTATTTTTAATTTTGATACTAATAATTTTTTAATAAAATTAGGAAAATGAATTTAAGATAATACGTAATTTTATTTTTTGGATTCACAGTAAATTGTTTTTAACTCTTTGGTTTTCAGGTCACCTAATTCCATCTGGCTGGAAGGTACTACCTGTATTTACTGCAGTACATTTAGATTCATCACTGCATGGAAGTGCTCTCCAGTTTTATCCTTGGAGATGGGAGGTAATTAATAATTACATTTACATTAATCTCAAGGATATCTAAAAGGGCTGGGTGTCCTACAATTGACCTTTTTTGTCAAAATTTTTAATATCTTGTGCTATTCTTGGGCTTAAGTTGGTGTGGACCTGTTTGATTAGGACAACCTAACCGCTATTTAATTAATTAGTTTTGTTCTCAATTCTCATTAATAGTTGTAATGCACCATCTTACTATAATGAGAATTAATTATTAATTATCAAATTTTTCATCAAAAAATGAAATGACCTAATTGCCCTTTTGGGGTTTTTTCAAGGAAAATTAATGCTTATTGTTGGAATTTTTGTTTGAAGAGTCATTTAATTTGTTTATCCATACATATTTATTTATGTTCTAAGAATATATATATATATATATATAATTTTGTTTATCCATTACTATTTAGTTTATGTTCTTAAGAATATATATATATATTATATATAATAACTTTTTACCTCTCTGGATAATGCAGGGACTCAAGATCAAAACATCAAGAAATTTACACCTTTTGGTGGTGATCTAGTGCGCCCAGGTCTGATATATATATATATATATATATAACTTTTTACCTCTGGATAATGCAGACTCAAGATCAAACATGCAAGAAATTTACACCTTTTGGTGGTGGATCTAGATGCTGCCCAGGGTCTGAATTAGCTAAAGTTGAGGTCTCATTCTTCCTCCACCACCTTGTACAGAATTTCAGGTTGGTTTCTTTTCTTTTCTTTTTCTTTTTTTTCTTTTTAACAAATATACTAATTGGAAGAGTAATTATACTTATTTTATAAAATATATTAGTTCGACAAATATACTTATTGGAAGAGTAACGAATATATTTCTTCTCTTTTTTTTAAAAAAAAACTACCAACAAACATATATTTTATTCAAATAAAAAAATTACCAAAATAAAGACTGGTGTGAGAAGTAAGATGCCTCGCTTTTTTGAGTCTTCTTGATCACGAGTTTTCACTAATTTAGTGAATCAAAAGGAGAAGTACTCTTGTTATGTAGCTTATCGTGTTATGTGGGCCATAAGATTTAAAACAATTTTGTATTTAATATTGCAGATGGAGAGGTGAAGAAGTTGAGCAACCCTTGGCCTATCCATATGTAGAATTTCAAAGAGGGTTAATGCTACATTTGGACCATCTTTCAAGCCCATTCTCCCATTAGCCTTTTCTTTAAATCAAACTCAAGGAAGAATCATCAACTTATAGTGTTTATATTTGGGGTTCTGCTTTATTTTATTTTTTAAAATTTTTTCAGGCTATCTATTTTGTTGAAAGAAGGGTTTGTTCTTCCTTAATCATCTAAAAAGGCCTTTCTTTTAGATATTACTAAATATTCAATGGGTTGTAATCTCTCAAACTTTTTCTACAACTTTTGGTATATATAGTTAAAATCCATCTCTTCTACAATTGTCTTTTTGTGTGTGTGTGTGTGAGTTTGAGATAACAAGTGCATGTGTTTCAATAAGGAGGTATTCTTGTTAAACCATATCCAAAATCAATAAAGATTAACTAAATTAACACTTCTATTCAAAAAACAGTAATTCAAAACAGTAAAAACATAAAAATAAAGAAAATAATATGATTAGGGTATGAATTTCTTTTCAATTTTGCTATTTTAATGTTTATTTATTTTATGGTGCAAACAATGCCAAAATTTTGAATATTCGTATTTACTTTAATTAAATATATTTGGCTGAATTACTAGTAAAAAACATCATTTTTTCTAAAAAAATGAGCAAATCTTTTGATTCACATATTTTAAGGTTAACTATTTCAAATCATGAATATCTAGAAAATTTAAGTACTCAAACGTCGATATAGTTTCAGCAAAATTAGCTGATCAATCTGCACAATAAATAGCTTTGTAGAAATTTAACAATTATTGTTCTTCAGAATTTTAATAAAACATACAATTCTTTTTCTCCAATCGAACTTTTTTTTTTTTTTTTCAATCCTGTAATTCTCTGTAAATAAAGTATTTTCCATTTTGCAATGCTAAAAAATATTCTTTATTCCTTGGATACATGAACAAAAATTTTCGAGTCCTTACCCAACCAATAAAAGAAAATCCATAATCAAAATAAGAACAATGGTCTAAACATTCATAATGTAATTGCTAATATTTGCTTCTTTCATTAATTATTGTTATCAAAGTAACTAACACCAACAATTCCTTAGAATTATCATAGAATACAAGGCTGTATTATAGCCTTTAAGCAATAGTAAATAGTTAAAATCCAATATTTTGACACTTGCCATTTTTTTTTTACCACTTCACCACAATAGGACTTCTGACATAGTACTTGTTGCTATCTGACCAAACCAACTCTCCAAATACATAGTCCTTAATGGCATAAGATTTTTTACTTTTCAGGGTAACTCTGAAACTTTTTTCTTCACCAATTTTCTTGAACTTCAACACCTTCGGCTCAACAGAAATGGAAAACCCACTTGGTTTTTTGATATGAGCTTGATAAATGCTTGGACTGACACCAACATTTTTAACTTTTCGAGTGACAGTAATGGAGCCAGAGAATTTTGGGATGGTAATTGAAGGATAATTGAAGTTGGCAAGACTAACAGGCTTTTTAGGGCATTTAAAGGAGGTCTGTGAGAATGATAAAATTTGTGCCTCACTATACCCTAAAGTGCATAGAAAATTTAAGTAATCATTAACACTCAGGTCATAAATTAGGCCTGGATCCATAGCTTCATTTGGTCTAATATGTCCTGCTCCGTAGCTAAATGGAGTTGCCTTGGAGTGTGATGCATTAAGAATTTCCTCTTTACTATTATCGAGCGTAGTTGCTGAAAGAGTACACGGGAGAAAAAAGAAGAAAAGGAATGTCAGAACAGTAGTTCGTTGCAAGAACATGTGAATATATTTCATGAAATGATATAAACTTGAACTATTTAATTAGTGTACTCACCAGTAGTCATAACCGCTGATTTAATAGCAGCAGGACTCCAATTTGGATGCAGAGTTTTAAGAAGCGCAGCAATTCCTGAAACATGAGGGCATGACATTGAAGTACCTGACATTGAGTTAAATTGAACTCGCCGCATGTCAAAGTCTTCATTTGTTGGTCCTTCTGCTTTTGTGTATGCAGCTATGACGCTAACTCCTGGTGCTGTTATATCAGGCTGCATATAGAGAAATGATAATTTAGTATATAATTAAAATTGTTAACTTGTATATACTATAATGATTACCTTGAGGATTTCAGGAGCAATGGTGTTCGGTCCTTTTGATGAAAATGCAGCCATAATAGGAGCTGGCTTTGTGCCTACTTGTGTTTTTGGACGTGTGATGTAACCAACAGAAGACCTATTTATGCAATTTGATGATTAGATATTAATTAGGGTCTAATACAAGAAAATTCAAAGATGGTGAGATTTCGTTTTATCTTACTTGGTATTGTTAATGTAATTGAAGATAGCAACACCATTAATGTAATTGACATGCGAAGCAGGAAGTACGTGAGGATCAGCGAGGATTTCGTTTTCGGAATCTTTGTCATTTGCAAGAACCATGGCTACAGCACCTGCCAATGCAGCTTGCTCGCCTTTCTCCACTCTTGCATTTGAGCCTCGAAGGCAGACCAAAATCTTTCCCTTGGCTTTTTTTGGATCAAGTGCTCCAGCTTTGCACAGGAGGCTGTATAATGCAGAGAGAAAATATTATATTTCTTTTCATATTATGCAATAGATTGAAATACAGAAAACTTTCAATCCTTACGCGTCTTGAGCTGATGCGTTAGCTGCTCTAGCTTCCGCAGCGCTTATAATTCGAAAGAACTTATTCTTTGGCAAGGCTTTTGCTGATAAACTTTCTCCCTTCAAAACCAAAGATCCATTGTTAAATTTTAAGACTCAAAGATTCTTGCAAGAAACAGATTTTGATTAGTATTGAAACAGAAACAAGTTTTGGTAGTTTCAACACTCTTAGGTTCGGCAGAACCACAGATTCTGTTAGTTTCAAGATTCAAGTTTCTTGCAAGAAACACATTTTAGTTTCAAAACTGGAGATTCTTACAAAATAACCAAATTTAACTTTCAAGACTCAAGATACTTGTAAGGAACAAATTTAGTTTCAAGACTCAACATTCTTCCAAGAAACAAAACACGGTTAATTAAGTTCCTGCAATAAAGAAAAAGAGAAATGAACCTTATAGGTCATATTGTTGCCAAGAACAACATAACTAGGGAACTCTCTATCCATAGTACTGGCTCCAACTGTTATCTGCCAAGGTGCAAGATTGGAGACAGTAGCTTCAGCAGGACCAGAATTACCAGCAGAGCAAATCACCACAATTCCATTTTTAACAGCATGAAAAGAACCAATTGCAACACTATCGTTAAAGAAAGCTGTATTGTCTGCTCCTAGTGAAACAGAAAGCACATCAACTCCATCGTTTATTGCACTATCAAATGCTGCTAATATATCAGCATCAAAGCACTCGTTTCCACCAATTGGAGGATAGCAGACCTTGTAAGCCGCTACTCGAGCTTTAGGCGCCCCACCTTTTGCTACTCCCTCGCCAAATCCAAAAACACTTGCATCTGATACAAAATTACCACCTGCTGTGGATAGTGTATGTGATCCATGACCTTCTTTATCGCGGGGCGAATCATAGCTAGAGTTGAGAGGACCAGCAACGGTTGCATACCCTTTGTTGAAGTATCTAGCACCAATAAGCTTCCTTCATGCAAGCATATAAAAATGTTTTCAAAATTAATTAACACTACAAGAAACTTCTGAAAACTATAACATGATGCAGAATACATTATTATATGTAAGAAACAGAAAAATCAAACAAGATAACATAATCTACTGAAACGTCTGCTTCATGAAACATAAAATAAAGAAACTGATAACCATAATCATATTAAAGTTGTAATTAAATAGCAACTTGCACCATATTAATGCATGTAATTAAAATATAATGTAAAGAGGAAATTGTGGAGAAAGGGAAGCTAGATCTAGAGCAACTTGAAATAATATTTATTACTAGTGAATCTTGTGTTGTCCTGGTTTAGGAGTACAAAGCATCCAAAAGGGTCGTAACTATATTAATGCAAAATCAATATATTAGTCTAAGCTTATATAATTAAATGGGTAGACACTCTTTCATGTTTTCAGGCAACAAATTCAAAAAGTGTTAATTAATTAAAGCAAGTTGGAATAATCTAGACGTAATTAACAGCTTAATAAATCTTTGCTCTTCTTTTTCTTATTTAACATTCAACTCCATACTATTAAAACATGTCCAGTAAAGCTTTAACTTTCACCCTCAAGAAAATTATTCCCCATTGGGTTCATGACAAGGTAAAATTGTCATCATCTGTCTAACTTTGTATAAATCAAATTCTGCAGCATAGATTCCATAATATGGGCCTTTATGGAATATCCCCACATAGTTTGGACCAACATAGGCTGGAGAAAAAGAAAAAGAAAACAAAGTAAACCCTTCAGAAATGACAAATGAGCTTTGACTAATTAATGATGGTACTGAAGTTATCTCCATAGTTTGTTTACTGATTAACCAAAACTAGAAAACGAAGAATGTAAATGTAAAAGGAAATCAAGAAACATCAGAAATTATAATGTCATTGAGTAATTTTTATAAAACTTATACAAGTGTGGAAGAGAGCCAACAAGAGTTGACTAGATAGAAAGGAACATTGAAGAGTTATCTTTAACATTATCACAAATTTGAATCTATTGATAAAACAATAAAAAGAAAAAGAAGAAAAAAAAAAGTAGGCAATAGAGCAGACCTGTTGCAGTAGAAACCAGGATCTGAGCCATTTTGACATGTTCCTTTCCACTTTGATGGAATCGGTCCCAACCCTTCATCACTGAAGCTTTTCGATTCAGGCCAAACACCTTTTCACAACAAACAATCCCATTTCAGAAAGAAAGAAAAAGGTTCACAGCAAAAGACAATGAACAGTTCAAATTGTTTACAGCTTGCAATATCATTTAATATTAACTCGTACTCATATATTTATCCCAGCAGAAATCAAATCAATTTACATTGGTTGTGGTGTTCAATCGCTTTTCTAGCCTTTCAACTGACTTATGAAAGTTAAAATAGTATTTTATAATATATTAATTACTGTAACGTAGAACTTTTAATGTTTATAAAAAATTATTTAAATAACTAAATACCGTTAAAATAACTTTACTTGCCACTAATTTTGCCATAAAGACCTTTAGTTAAACAATGGCTGCTAGTCAAAGCACGTGCACATCAACTTCTATGAACTTAATTATGTTGTTCTTGTCTTCCTCTTTTTTGACAAATGGTCCTTAGTTGAGCTTGTCTTAGCAGGAGGGCATTAGGATTCAGATCTCACAGCTGATTTCTATTCATAACATTCAAAAAGTATATATCTAAGTTGAAGCAGAAGTGAAAGAAACTACTTACCAGTATCAAGATTTCCAATAATTGTATCTTCACCAAATCTTGCTTTCTTCCAAATTGAGTTGGAAGGAACTACGCCGTTTTGCTCGAGGCCAAGGAAGTTCCATGAGTGAGTTGTATGCAACTTTTTTCCTTTGTTCAAGAAGATTGAGACTACTTTTGGATGCTCTGCAATTGATTAAGCATTAACACAATAACTAATGCTCGAGAAATATATAGTTTTTGCTTCGGGCCAAGGGAAGTATCCATGAGTGAGTTTGTATTGCAAACTTTTTTTCCTTTGTTCAAGAAAGATTGAGGACCTACTTTTGGGATTGCTCTGCAATTGATTTAAGCATTAACACAATAACTAATGCTCGAGAAATATATATATATATATTATTATATATATATATATATATATATTATATATATGTATAAAGAAACAGAGGAAAAACATATATTGTCTTACTAGCATTTCTTTCTGCTATTCCATCATATATATGTATAAAGAAACAGAGGAAAACATAATATTGTCTTACTAGCTATTTCTTCTGCTATTCCATCATCTATAGTTGCAGCAAAGCCATTAATATGCCTTGTGTATGAGTAAAATATGGAATCTTGCGCCAAGTCTCGACTGTTCAGAGGAAAAAAAAAACAATTATATATTCATATTTATAAGTTATATGCAAGTTGCTACATGATAAACAGAGTCAACTATACTTAAAAACCATTTTACCTTCCCAAAAATGATCCAAGAAAATCATAGTGAGAGTCTGTTACAAGATTTTGATCAATCAAAGAGATTTCTTCGCCATGTGAGTGAGCTCCTAAGTACACCACATATGACTACAAAGAAACGAAATAAAAAAAGATTGTGAAATTATATATTTTACCAAGACAGAGAGAGGAATGATTTGCATGGATGAAAAAGTAAGTATGTGTTTGTTAAATGAGAAAGATTGAATGCTAACCTTTTTGGAGGCAGAGGTGGGTCTTTGCACTAAAATTAGAAAAAGAAATGATAGGAAGCAAAGGGTAGGATTTAGTAGCCTCATTTCTTGATTGCTACTTGTTTTAGTAAAATAACGTATTCTGCTTCCCACTCACTCTGTTTCTTCCCCTGTTTCTATAAGGTGCCTTCCCTTTCTTCTTATATAAATAATGGAATAGAGCTTTGAATTGATCCTCTCCTCGTTATGCTAAAAGAAGACCCAAAGGACCTTTTGGCCTATTATAATGCTATTATAAAATACTTAACTTAGATCATACATCTGTTTATAATGTTTTAAGACCATAAATAGATTTTTTTTTTTTTTTTTTTTTGGTTTTTAAAAGGCAACAGTTGTCAGAACGCATAAGAGCCCATGTTGTACTGTACACGATGTTTTCTTATAAGGGAATTTCTTTTAAAAAACATTTAATTGTAAGAGTTCAAAACCTGTCCCTTGAAGCAGAAAAAAAAAATTAATATAAGGAAAAATTTGTATTTTGATCTAGGAAGGTGGTGAGAGAATGCAGAAATTGGCTCTTAATGTATGGATAGGGCATAAACCTGTGTGGGCAAGTCTTATGGATAAATTATATGATTGACCAATCATGAACTGACTTATGCAATGTCACTGTGTGGGTGACAATTTGAAGAGAGGAATTTATATTTAAAAATCCTTCATAAATTCTTCTAACTCACTTAATATATGGATTAGCCCAAGTGCGGACGGCTCTCATCCTCCAACGTGTATATTTTTCATACATTCAGCTAAATAGTTAAGTATTTTAAAAATTACCATTTATTATTATTATTATTCAATGAAAAAAATATCATAATCAATCAGGTGGTGGTCTGGTTGATTTTCTCACTTATGTAACATAGTTGTTTTTACCAATTTAGTGAGTTAAGAGAAATACATGCCAATTCAATTGTAGTGCCCATTTAACAATTTACGTATTTATGGTTTAAAATAAAAGATAAGTCAAAATCATAAAATTTTATTTACTTAATAAAAAAATATAATGTCTATATTAAATATAATTACAATATTATTTATAATTAAAAAAATATAATTATAATATTATTGAAATATTAATTAAACAGGTAACAAATAATTAAACTCTTGAATCCATTTCAGATGGGTTTATAACTATTGAAATACATCTTGTTAGGTTCAAATTCGGTAGGATTGACACTCTAGTAACATATTTGAAGGGTTTTGGATGCTATTGTGATCATTTCATGCTCCTTTTTTCTTTTTTCAAATGGTTGAATTTAATTTATCTCTCTCTCTCTTTTTTTTATTATACTTGGTAATTTTTATTGTTTTATGTTTTTAGTATTGTGGTTTCATTTTTTGGTCGGTCTGACTAAATTTTCAAGTGCAAAATTGTACTCTAAACATCTTCAGCATGCTTGTTTCTTTTGGACGAAATCAGGAACAGTGAGAAGATGTGGGGGCTCCATTAAAATTATTGATGATTTTGATTATTTTTTAAAATTATAAATCTGAAAAACAAATCAAATTCAAAGATTGCATTGGGGTTGTTGCTATTTGTCTTAAGGGTAAGTTGCTAAAGATTCCTTTTTGATTTTGTATTTTGGGAATTGTCTAATTGCATATTGCCGGGACAATGGTGCAAGAATAAGAAAAAGAAATGAAGTTTTACATATTTAATACTGTCATGCCAAGAAAATAACGAACGATTGGAATGATTTGTGAGTAATTAAAGAAAGGATAAATATTAATTAAGACCCACAAGTCATAAAAAGAAAGATTTCTTCTCAAAATTAATCTGAAATCATGCAAATTTGAATCCGTACTAATATGAAAGAAATCAATATTGATCAGTAAATATTACTCTCTCCGATTCATTTATATAGACACAACTAACTTTGCATATGGATTAAAAAATTAGTTAAACTGTAATTTTTTGTCGATTCTTCCCTCTTATGCCCCAACATTGCATTAATTAAATGTTTGTTTTGAAAGTCAAATATGTCATGTCAATTTATTCCCATGGAAACAACTAATGACTTATATCCATAATTAAAGGATGAATTATAGTAAAAACCCACCCAGTTCTCCTAATTAACGCAAGTTTTACCTCCTAATAAAATTTTTTAAATTGACCCTTCCATTTTTAGTGCAAAAATTTTGATGGAAAATGAACATGTAATTTTCGTTTAAAAAATGTGGACATTTAATAAAGGAGTATGTGCAAATAACCTTTATGGAGCTAAAATTTTTTGTGGTATCAATTGTCTGTTCAAATTCTTTCTAAATACCCACTTATAAATAACATCAATTCAATAACTGAGAAATCGCACACAACTACAGCAAAAAAAATCTAAAAGTCCACCTTTTGAGAGAGCATTCAGGTCAGATTTAGTAAACAATCTTTTGTGCTCCACTTACATAACTCTTGCTTATTTTTCAAAAATATGTGTGATTTTGCTTGAAACGGAAAGAGAAAGACAGTAGATCTATGAATTGGTTAGTCAATCATATTTAATGCAATATTTGAACTTTGTCTGTCACTTTTTTAGTTTTTAAAAAAGTTGGTACTCTAAACAAAGCAAATAAAGTATAATTTAGACTTTATACTTTGATCATAGTCCAAATTAAATAACTTTGTCTATATAAATGAAACGCTGAAAATGAAAATTTTGTCTATATAAATGAATCGGAGGGAGTATTTGTAATGAGCTAATAACAATGATTATGATATAACCTAGTGGTAAGTGCATATACATTCTAATAATATATCCAGATTTGAATCCCTCGTTAAACTAGGACTAATTCCTGCTCATGTCATATCAGCTTACTAAGAAATAAAATATTTTCAATAATTATTTGTTTCATTTATAAGGATGGAACAGTCATTAATTTTTTTTTAATAAACACTCATTAATTTAGTTAAATATATTTGGTTGAATTACTTGTCGAATTTATAACTTTAGTAATTGTAATAAAACAAAATTCTTTCTATCGAAGCAGAACTATTCAAAGTTTCAAACAATAAAAGAGGTTTCCATTTTATAATGCAAAAAAAAAAAATCTTTATTCTTGAAATTTTTTTTTTTCCCAGTCTTTGTCCAATCAATAAAAGGAAGCCCATAATCAAAATAATGTAATTGCTAATATTTGCTTCTTTCATTAATTATTGTTATGAAAATAACTAACACCACAATTCCTTAGAACAATCGTAGAGCACAAGGCTGTATTATAGCCTGACCTCTAAGCAATACTGAACGGTGAAAATTTAATATTTTTGCAAAACTACTGTCTTTTATTATTTTCTTTCTTTCCTTTTTTTTTTTTTTTTTTTTTTATAGCCGACCTCTAAGCAAATACTGAACGGTGAAATTTAATATTTTTGCAAAACTACTGGTCTTTTATTATTTTTCTTTCTTTCCTTTTTTTTTTTTTTTTTTTTTACCAATTGACCACTTTTTTTTTTTTTTTTTTTTACCAATTGACCACAATAGGACTTCTGACATATACAGTACTTGTTCCTATCTGACCAAACCCGTCCTCATTGGATAAGATTTTTCACCTTTTGAGGGTAACATTGCAGCTTTTTTTTTTTATCTTCACTAATTTTCCTGCATTTCAACACCTTTGGCTCCACAGAAATTGAAAACCCGCTTGGTTCTTTGATATATGCTTTATAAATGCTGGAACTAACACCAACATTTTTAACTCTCCTGGCAACAGTAATCAAGCCGGAGCGTTTAGCGATGGTGATTGAAGGATATATAATTGAAGTTGACAAGACTAATAGGCTTTTCAGAGCATTTGTAGGAGGTCTCTGAGAATTGTAAAATTTGTGGTTCATTATACCCTGACGCACAGAGAAAATCCAGGTAGTCATTATACACTGAAGCACATAGAAAGTACCTAATATTGGGTTGAATTGAACTCCCCGCGAACTCTTCATGTGAGGGTCCTTCTGCTTCTGTACGTTTATGCAGTTACGATACTAACTCCTGGTGCTGTTATGTCAGGTATATGCGTACTAGAGGAATTACTATTATTAATTATTTTTACTTTCAGAACTAAATATTCTCAAGGAAAAAACCACATTTTACTTAATCAAGATACGTTTTACTTAAAAGAAACACATTTCAGTTTCCATACTCAAGATTCTTGCAAAAGAGCACATTTTAGTTTTAAGACTAAAGACCTTGCGAATCGAAATGCATCTCGGTTAAGTTTCTGTAATCAAGAAAAAGAGAAACGAACCTTATAACTCATATTGTTTTTTTTTTTTTTTTTTTTTTTTTGTTTTTTTTTTTTTTTTTTTTTTATCTAGTTTTTTTTTTTTTTTTTTTTTTTTTATTAGAGAAATTGAAAATGAAAATTTCAGAATATTTTAAAATGAAATTGGAATGAGATGATTCCATTTGTTCCAGTTTCCAACAGAATTACACACCTGGCTAAAAAGAGATGAGTACCTATTATATAGTCCTAGGCTTTTGTTGTAAGTTTGATCCATTTATATACTTGGGCTGGGTCATTGTCATTTATCTTAGCCCAAGAAGCCAAAACATGAAATTGGATTCACCCAAAAGCTAAGAATATATATATAAACTTGAATCCAAACAAGGCCTAACTATGTCCTATTAATGTCATTGTAATATGTTCAGTGGCACACCGTTTATATTAATATGGAAAAATCATACAACGGTCGTTATGATTTAGAAAATATAATTATTCAGTTGTTATATTTTAAGAAACAAATTAAAATTTTCTTATAATTTATTTTTGTCAGACTATAAGATTTTTTTTATCTAATTTTTTTATCTTTTCTATTAATTGTCTTATGAAATGACCAAAATATCTCTTGTATCTTTTATTACCGTTTGTATATTTTTAAAAGTATAGAAACAGAGTAATTGTATTTTTCAAATTATAGGGACTATATTATAATTTTTTTGATATAATATTTTATTATCTCTCATTTGATCTCTGTGTTTTCTTATTGACTTAAAAAAGATTAGACAAAAGGACCTAATAATGTAATAAAAGTAAAACAAATGGACTAATTGATATATTTTAAAAAGCATAGGCTAGTTGTATTTCAAACCATAGATACCGCACTATAATTTTCCCTATTACTGATATTTATAGTTTGAGAGAACATGTTATAAAATGTTATTCGCTTTAATGTTTGATGGAACACTAATAAAATAGCTATTAAAGTTGTGTTCAACAACAACAAATAGTCTTTAGTGTTTTGAATTAGTCAAAACACTATTTCTCTATATTATTGTATTTGATAACTTGATACATAATGTAACTTTTAGAGAATGAGGGAGTATTTTTTAAAATATTATCTCACTTAACGTTTAGCATTTTAGGTCTTTATTGAAATTTTCATGCAATCCTACGATTTATTAATTTAAAATCATTCTTTATCATATTATGACTTTTATTATTTTTATGCTTGGTTTTTTATAATTGATAGTAAATGAAAAAAAAAATGCTTATTTATATATTTGCATTTGAACTCAAACAAATATTGAAAATTGAAAATATTGTTCCCTAAAATATTAAAAATTTCATTTTTTATTTATAAAATAGTGAACTTTTCAATTTTTGATCCCTTAAACTTTGAAAATTTAGGTTTAATAAAATCATCTTTTCTTTTATAATGAGTTAATTATATGGCTAGAAGTGAATATTTAGATGTAATTTTTTATCATTTTAAATTAATTGCTAATCAAACAATTATTTTTACCGAACATTTTCGCTTTCAACCGCTACTTAAACAGCTAACAGCTAACCACTATCATCTAATAGCTAACAGCTACTATGGCCCTGTTCGGCTTTAGTGTTTAGTGTTTTGATTAGGTCAAAACACTATTTTAATTAATTATAGAGTGTGGTAATACAATATTTATCCTAATGTTTAGAGTTTGAGACTGTGTTTCATGAAACGTTATCTTCATTAACGTTTAGCGTTTTATAATTTTTTTATGACAGCTGTACACATCACTTATCTTTTCCTTATTCCCCGCTTTCATAATTTTATTTGTCATTTTATATTAAAGAGTTAATCAAACAGTTAGTTGTACAGAACACTTTTATTCTAAACCGTTACATAAACAACTAACCACTAACAACTAGTAACTACTAGTAAAAAAGCTGACAACTATTAAAACAGCTGACACCTAATAAGAGCTTAAAAACAACTAAGAGCTATTAAAGCACATAACAACAATTAGAACAGCTAAATTTAGTGAATACACTCTAAAACAACTAATTTTACCAAACAATTCTAAATCCTATGCTTCACAGACTGTACCATACTAGGGATGGCAATTTAACCCAATCTAGCAGGTATCCGACCCGATTTTTACTGGTTCGGATAGTGTCTAAACAGGTTTGGGATGGATTTAGGTAGTAATTTCAATACTCGCATTGAGTTCGGATAAGATTCGGGTTTTGGAGGTTGGATACCCGTTTAATTTAAAGCAAAACATTAATGATGAAGGGCGGAATCATATAGTGTCTAAATCGGTTTGGGACGGATTTAGATAGTAATTTCAATACCTACATCGGGTTCGGATCGAATTCAGACTTAGGAGGTCGGATACCCGTTTAATTTATTAAAGCAAAACATTTATGACCTCCACATGATAAGTGGATTACCTTACCACCAAGCTACTTGGCATTTTTAATTACATGATACACAAAATATATATATTATTATTCGTAACTGTAGTTTTTTATAGTTTTAAATTTTATTAATAAATAAAATATTATTGGACAGTAATATAATTTTATTCATAAATAAAATTTAATAAAATTACATTATTGGACAGTAATATAATTTTATTCATAAATAAAATTTAATAAAATTACATACATTCAATTATAATATCTTAATAATTTAAATTTAGTTTTTTTTAAATAAAATATATTATAGTATTATGTCTTAGTAATTTAATTGAATTTTTTGTAGTTTGATAATTAGAAATTTATTAATAACTAAAAAAGTTATTAATTGAATAGAATGCTAATAATATTATAATTAAGAATTTTAAAGCTACTTATCAACATCACTAGTGATCTTCTAATGATAATTATAATTATATCTTAATTTAAGATATAACTCGTGTGAAATATGAAATTTAGATATAACTATACTAATTTAGAATGCGACTCAAATAAAATATCAGTAGTAAACTTATTGATCTAATTATAATTAAATCTTAATTAAATGTACTCTTATTCTTAATTAGATCTTAATTAATTAGATCTTAATTAAATCTTGCTGATTATTGTTCAAGTGTGGAGTCAAATGTTTTCTTGTGTGGAAAAAGATGATGTTAATTGTTTATCCTTGCAATCTTGGTTCTTGGAAAAATGGAGTTCAAGAATTATGTTTATATTAATATTACCAGTATTGTTGTTTTAGAATGTTACACTTGAATTATTTTACTATTTCAGATTGAATTTTACTGTATTTTTTATATTTTTTTAATAAATTTATGATTAAATAAATATTTAAATGGATCGGGAGAGTTTGTATTTAATTCTAAACAGATTTAAGACGAATTTAAATATTATTAATTTATTTTTTAATAGATTCAGATGGATTCGAATACTTATGGATTCGGGCAGATGATTTCTAGCAGAGTACCAGCCACCTTGCCATCCCTGTACTGTACCATTCCCTTTTATGGCCAAAAGTACAATCACTTGACTTGAAAGTTAAGCTGGGTTCGCTTTTTGGGACAAGTCTTCCTCAATTACAGGACGACACGTGTTCCCTCTTTCCTTGCATATTTTTAGATGGGCCCCAATCCTACTCATACCGTCAAACCCTATATTTGACAAACAACGTCAAATTTTATTTTCTTTTTTTTTTTTTTTAATATTAGTTTGAACTTTTAATTTTTAAGCTTTAGGTTTAGGCGTTCATTACCCAAACGGGCCGTAAGAAAATCCGTTAGAATAACTCTTCAGCCTAACGGCCCAAGTTGTATTTTGTCTTATGCGCTGGCTCTGGCACTGTCTAACACCTGTGAAAACTCTTTATTATGGATATTTTAATATCAAATTGGAAATTGTAGTAATTTTTTAATCAAAGAATCCAAAAAAACTAATTCATAGAGATTTTACAATAAAAATAAAACGTTAATATCAATTAATCACAATAAAGTATAATTAAAATATTCTTTTTCTTAATATTAAAAAAAACTATCAATCTCATATAAAAATTATCAATTAATCACAACAGTTTGAAAAATCAAACTTTTTAGATTGATATTGTTGATTATATTTAGTTCAATTCAATTTGCGTTTTAAAAAAATTTTAATTTATTCACGAGTAAAAATCTCAATTATTATATATGCATGAATTATTAATTAAAATTGGTATTAAAAAATATAAATATAAGTTAATGAAATAAATAAAAATTATATGGCGGAGGTGAGGATTGCGACAAAGTTTAGTAAACTTGGAAGATGTTACGGGAACTATTTTTTGGCACAAAGTGATGTGAGCTATGATAATAATAATAATAATAAGACATTAATATTATTATTACTGTGTACAAAGTAAATAAAAAGAGAAAAAGCTAGTCTTTGCCGTCTGATCAAAGTCCCATCTCTCAGCTTTCTCCGTGGATTTTCTGTTGTATTTGCCTTTGCTTTCCCCCTCCAACACTTCTTTAAAATCCCACTACCTAAAATTTCTGAGTATGTCTGCTCTCTTTTTCTCCATTTTATTCTGTCTTGATAGAGAAAGTACTAAGAGAGTTTTTTTTACCTTCTTTCATCTTCTTCTTGTTTCTTGCTCTGCAGACTGCACCTATCATCACCTTGTTGGTCCAGTTTTAGTTCATTTTCAGGTTTGTAATGTGAATCTAATTTCAGTTATTAATATTCATATCTTTTGTAGTAAACATATAGTTGCTTTAACTCGTTGTTTATCTATTATATTCATATACTTGCTCTCTTTTTTTTCAGAAAAAAAAAAAAAAATTTATGTTTTAAATATAATCAAATTGATACATGAGAATTCTTATTTTCAAAAATTAATTATAAGATTTATAACTTACGATCGATTCTGTTTTCATCCAAAATAGAGGACTAAAGTATTTAATGAATCATAAGTTTCCTTACAGCGAGTTTTGAAAAACAAAGATCTTCATGTGTTAATTTGACTATAATTTAGGATCCGTTTTCTTTTTTTTCAAATATTTATTTCAAATATTTTTTAATAATATCGATCTTTTTTTTTTTAAAAAAAAAAGCAAGAAATTAGTTTAATCCAATGCCAAAAAAATAAGCAAGAAATATTGCTGTAAAAGGATAATTTATTATAGTGTCATTTTGTTTTCTCAATATATATACATATAGTGTAATTTTGCAGGGAAGGAAGAATAGAGAAATGAAATGGGGAAAGATTGATCTGCCTGGCTCCCTGGATGCCAACTAAGAAACTTTGTCAATGGAAATTGACACTTTCTAGTTGGCATCAGAGGAGTCAAGCAGGTCTTCTTACTCTTCCTTACATGCTCATCAAAGCAGCAGGTTTGTTTGTTCGTTTTAAGTTATAAATTCTTTTATAAAATTTATTTATAAATAAACTTTTTATATTTAGAATAATTCAAAATTCAAAATTATTTCTTCTATTTCTAATGGACCGTCTATTTTCTAAAACTGGGTTCAGAGAACCAATGTTAGCATATACATACTTCTTCTTCAAATTCATGCCTAAATGCAAGTTCAATCATAGTATTAAACTCGGTGGTACTTTCGGAGATAACTCTTAAGCTCATTAATTCAATAAGTTAGATATTTAAATTATTTATGTTAGTTCTGCAATTTCAAAAATAATCAAATATCATCTTAGTATGTTTGGATCATTTAAGTGACGTGAATAGACTATAATATATTAATATGATTCATTAAAGATATGTTAGAGAAATAAATTAAGTTTATTATATTAATTTATTATGGACATAAAAGTGTAATATTGATGATAGATGAGACTTTTGGCTGTAAATCCCAGTTAGGAAATTACTGAGATTAAATTGTAGTTCAACTACACCATTATAATTAGGGTAAAATATAATTAACTCCTTAAATTGCATTTAAATTAACACTTTAAATTTTTTTTAAATTTGAAAAATAACTATGACGTTTCTGATTTATACTTCAATCTTACTATTAGTTCATTCCATTTTAAAAAATAAGCTCTTTACGGTTAATTAGACATGTTCTTTAATGGGATATGCTCAATTTTAATTTTTTGACGGAATATGTCGATTTTATAGATGAAAAAAAATCAGATAATGAGATAAAGTTTATCATAGTTATTTTTTAAATGTATAAGGATTGAAGTATTAATATTAAGGTTTAAATAATGTATTTATTAAATCCCATAAAATTTAGAGAAACCCACGTGTTAATTTAAAAAATGTTTGCCTTAAACTCAATTCTCTCTCTCCATGGCTTCTACTTTTTACGTTTCAGAAATCAACTGTAACAAGGGACATCAAGAAACTTTTACCAGAGATCAAAGGAAGTTGTGAGTAAAAATAAATAAATAAAACTTAAAATGAACAAAACTCTATACAAGTTCCTATACAGTTTACAAGCTCTTGCTCTATGATCTTTTGGTATATGATTTACAAAAGAATGTTGTTTATTCACTTCTTTTTCTTGTTCTCGTCAAGTTTAAGAAGCTGAACAGGAGCTGCTGGTATTCTAATCCACCATTCTCTTAACCGTCTCCGCCACCTATCGCTGCTCTCTTTTCTATAAGGCATTTCCCTCGTAAAGGCCTCCAAAAATATCATCAGAATTAAGTATCTTGAAGGCACCAATGCAACTGTAACAGAAATGAAAACTAGCAGGAGAGCAATCCTATCTGTTGCCTGGCAAATAAACAAAAATAAATGAAGTAACACACAGGTACGCACTAGCCAACAATCAGTTGTTTGGTTTAATTACGACGGTGGAAATTCTGAAGCAACTCATATCAAAAACTAGAAATTAACAATTTTATCACAACAAGATGCAAATGTAATGTCTGTTTCAGTCCAATCCATTATCTCAAACACACAACTACTTAGTTGTATGGTGCTCTTTTCAATTCAAATAAGTTATAAAGTGGCTGAATAACCACTCTGAACAACTTTAGTTTCCATTTCCTGTCCGATGACGTGAAACCAGATGCAAATGAAGATGCTTAGGACATAGTAGCATCCTGACCAGGGACCATGTTAAACAAGTAAAGACTAGCAGCATGCAAATAGTGATAAAAGCATAAAGTGATATGCACAACATATCTTGCAAGAAAATATAGCAATATATGCACATGTTTCGCTTATTTCCTGAAATTTTATTTTATTTCATTTAAATGCTAAATATTCTGATAATGCAATGAGCTCAACCGTCTAAATATGACAGTTTCAAATTGATTAAAAATTCCATTTCACCCTTTTGTGTTCTTATTCAAAGTATAAAATCCCAATTCATAATGCTAACCAAAATAATTGTATTTCAATATTGATCATATCTCAGTTGTGAACCCCGAACCATAAATACCTTGAGGTATTGGACATTTATACAAAAATTCAAATTTTATTTCAAATTTTGAGTGTGTTTAAGAAGTTGTAGATAAATTTGCAAAATTACAAAATTACATCATACGTATCCTATCCAAAATAATCATATAAAAAAAGCTCCCTTGTTGCTATTTTTCTTAGATAGACGAGATTATGAATATGGCCAGGACATGTACCTGTGGAAGAACAGCAAACAGAAGAGCTCTAATCTTCAGAAGAATAATATTCCCAGTCTGAATTAGTGCTTCAACATGTGTCACAGCTTCTTGCAATGTCAGCAACTGCTCCACAGCATTTTTATTTGGGGGAGCTCTAACTCTAAAAGCTTCCAAGGGCTCCTTTTTGTTGAAATGCCTTTGGAAGAACATGAAAACCGCAGAGCATATGAAAATGGATGGTAATATGAATTTGATCCAACCCCTGTACATCATTATGAATGATAACATTACACTTGGTTTGCTGATTCAAGCTATCAACAAAATTTTAAAATCTCTTCAATAGCAGCACATGTGAACTTTTAACTTTTCTGCACAAGTGAAACTATTGCTCAAGAAAAATTACCTTAAAATAACATAACAGCCTACAACCAGAAGCACCATTGATTTAAATGGATCTTCCCAACAGGCCAAACGCTGAAGACAACTAACGAATTCAATAACTGGAAACATCAGTTCCTACAATGAAGAAAACAATGAAAAAGTTTTCAAGTAAAAATAGTCAAATTTCTCCACGAAAGCTCCACATAGTTTCAAGTTTAAAAAAAAAATTACGTAATCATCAAAGGTTATCATGGACAGAACCAACCAATAAAATGAAAACCTATCAAGTCTCTTCATATTTTCTTCTGGTCTTGTGGTTGGGAACGGGGTAGGTGGGGAGGGAAAGGAAGCAGCACATTGAATTTTCTGGAAATGGTATTTCAATTCAATGACTATCACCAAGTGGAACAGTATATCAAAAGAAGAAAATCATGAATGTTAGGTTTTGGAACCCCACATTTAATTAGCAACTTGATTGATAATAATGTTTTTTCCTTCGATAGAAGTTCATATTAGTTCGCTAGCACAGCATCCAGGATTGAAATGATTAATAGGCTTTCCATCTAAAAGACCAAGGTAAAAGTTCCTCCCTTTTTTTTTTGGGGGGGAGAGAAATAAATCCCATTTTTCATGATGATAAAAGTTGTCAAGCAAATAGATTTACTATTTTTTAAGTCATTAAATCAGTCTAAAAGTTATTTTAGCAAGGAAAATAATAGCAGGCAACCTTCATTACTGCAACATTTGTATCAATCCCTTCAACCTTCACTTTGTCCACAGTTGCTTGTGCAGCTTCAGCTCTCCCGATGTCTGACACTGACTTTTTCACTGCTATCTCCAATGGATTTGTCTCACCAACACAAAGATCTCCTATTTCAATTGCTTCTCCATCTATATTTGTCTCCTTTTGTAACATTAATCCAAGTCGTCTAAGAGTCAGAAGTGCAACTGGTGAAAGCATTGGTTGCTGCTTTGCATTTGCAAATCCATTGACGCTGCGCGGGGAGGCAGTTACATTTAGAAGAGCCAGACGACTTGATAGAGTTTCCAAGATCTTATCACCCTTAGGAAGACTTTCAGCCAGTTTGAAAGCAAGTACAGTTTTGTAATGGGACGAGAAGAAGTGGAAAGCTTCTCTAATTGCACGAGATCGGAAGATGCCTAGAATAGCCCTTGCAAGCACCTCCAGTTGCTGAGTTTCTTTGAAGTTGTTTTTTCTAATAAACTTGTATGCATGCAGGATCTCTATACTTATATCCAACCAATAATCTCGTCGAGAATTACCCTTAAATTCAGGAAATTCGAAATAAACAGGCTCTGCTCTGTGAATAAAAGGAAGAAGGGGAAGAAGTTTAATATAAGATTTTCATACATAAAAGTAGTGAGATACATTGACACTTGATAGATAACACCTACTGATCTCTTTATAGTACAAAAATTCTACATGTCAGGATAAAATATAACATACGTGGCAATTGATTTATACATCACAGCTTTATCAAAGAGGCGAGCGCCCAATGGTCCAGTCAATTCAGGTTTTATGACCTGTTTCATATCTGTTGCCAGATCATATCTAACAGCTTTATCGTATATACCAACTCCCAGTGATTCAAAGTATAGAGCAAAGTTAGTCAGTGTTAAGCGACCTACACAAAAAGAGTTTGATGAATACAGCACATCAATATTTAAATTAATAGACATACAATCATTAATCTTTAACCATGTCTAAGTCAAAAATCATCCATGATGTCAAAAGCAAACATTTCTATTGCTATGCATACTCATATAAAAGGCTGCATCAACAAGGTTAAAAGATTAAGATTTAGCATAACTAGGATATAAAATTTTAGTTCATATGACTTTGAGCTGGCTAAACTTGGCATCTCAGTAGAATAGTTTTTACAACTTTGAAGATGGCATCTTTAAGATAATTAGCTTTTTCAGGGACAATTTTCAGCCAATATTAGCACACAAGACGTAAACAAGTCAGCTGTACACAACAATAACAATGGTGATGATATATATTTAACATGGATTATTCATCTTTAGTCATAGAATCTCTGATAGATATCAATTTAATAATGTCTGGGTCAATGTCATCAGTGGCATCAGTGTCAACCAAAATAAATAGTCAACAGCCTTGAAGTTCCAGCTGAGGCATTAACGGGATAAATTTTACCTACGAAAGGGCTAGAATTCAAATGTTTTGAAGTGATGAAAAATCAGGAGGCACATACATAGATGCACCCACACACTTGCTCACATGCAAGGATAAGCATTTGCGTTCACACACTAAGATTCATCGATGCTAACATGTATAATCAAAATTCAATACTACTTTTACTCATACTACTTACATAGAGTAGCGTGCAAAAAAATATTTTAACCAGAGGTTTAGGTCTAAAGTACAAATCTGAATCCACATGGACACAGAAAATTATTTTATCCCCATTTCAGTGATTTACCTGGCCATGCTGAAATTCCAATATGCTGCAGAATTGGTTGAGTGGGCACTGTCCCATCAACATCTAGGATGATCTCTCCCTCAGCGAGCTGAAGATTGGAAATCAAAAGTCCTGGAGTACTCTTTGCTCCCCTAATAATCCTACAAAAGAAAAGGAGACTCAGTACAGCATTTAAATGTATACACAATAAGTCAAAAGCAACAAATAAAATTTAAGGGGGCAAAAAATAAAGGTGAAGATGTTTACAGCTTTTGGTCAACAACAGAAATGCAGGCAAATGTGCAACTAACATTTTACCATATACAGACTTCATCTAAAGAGTGGATCGATATATCTTAAATGTTAAGGGCAAAATCCTGTTTCAAACTGCTTGAACAAAAATAAATAAGGGATTGGTTCTTCAACACTTTTCCACTTTCTCACAACAACATTCATTTACTAACCTTCCGCATGAATGGAGAAACACACACACAAAAAAAAAAAGGTAAAAGAATTCTATCATTTACAAATGCCTTAATATTCAGTAATACAAATTTTGCATGCAATAAATGCATTTTATATCCTTTCCATATACTTTCTTATGGATAGAACACAATTTTTTATGCATATCAAAAAATCGTAGCCAATATTTCTTTTGGCAACCAAAAGGACACTAAAAATGAATTACAAAGACGTATCCAAGACATGTGAAAAATTGAACTAAGAAGAGCAAGTTCATACTTGTCAAGATTGTGAAGGTATTTATCATAAATAAGAAAATGAAGTCGTTCTCCTGAAGTACTCGTAAGCGCATCAAAAAGATTGTGGACAGTCATTACATCTGCAACAACAGCACAAGCAGGAGCTATGCGGGCAAAAGCCTCTCGGCCAACGGTTTTTGTGTCATCAACCTGATGGTAAGGATGGAACAAAATCAATGTGAATGAATGGTAAAGTACACTTGGAAGCCCTACGACTTCACGTGATAGAATGGGAATATACCTCAATCTCAATATGTAAAATGAAGTCATGAAAAGAACCTGAACAGCCATATTAGTGGAACTTGAATAAAACAGTGAGACCCCATCCTCATCCTCTTCTTGCGGATAACAGGGAGAGGCAGTTTCCTATATTTGAAATCAAGTTGAGAGAGGCATTATTAAAATGAAGAGCTACCCCCGATATAAACAGTGTATATATATTGTATATATATGTATATATATAGTGAGAGAAGATAAGAAAAAACGGCAGTCTCACGTTGAGTTGCGGATTGGATTCAAGTTCAATACTGGGGCTCTCCCAGGCGAGCATCATATCATAGGTCAAGCGACGAAATTCTTTGTCGCTTAAATAATCAGGGCGTCTGGTGACCCAATTGAGCGCTTGGTAAGAGCAGAACTCGAGGAAGTTCCTGGCATAAGAGAAGAGCTGCTTAACGCTCTCTGGTAGCTCAATGTCGAAATGGTGCTGTAACTCGTGGGTAGGGACTCCTAGGATTCTGCAATTCAGTGCAATCACGTTACAAATCAATAGCTCCGATAATTGGAATAACGAGGACGCAATAAAAGAAAAAACAAGATTACCTGGAACAACGAGTGACGACGGAATTGGCAAGAGGAGAGAGTTGGGGAATGGGTCTGGGGGAAATTCCAGGTGAACCATCTTCGCTTGAATCCGATAATCTCTTTCTGAGAAATAGCGATTTCAAAGATTGTTGGTGATTCCTCATGAAAATCTCAAGCATTCCCATCTTAGCTGGGCCTTCCATCTCATTTTCTTTTTCAATTAAAATCGATCAAATTTGCAATTCAAACAACTTTCTCACAACAATCATGGAATTGCACAGTAATCACAACCACCATCACCATCACCATCTTCAAATAATTTCTGCGCCCTGCGCCAAGAAGACAGTTACTTGTCTATCAACTCTCACAAGACCAACAACCAAACACACAAAAAACGGATCTCTAAATAAATTTTCTTTTTACCTAAATAGTTAAAAGTGTTTTTGTTAAAAGATTGGGGATAGCAATGGGTAGGGTTCGGGTTGGATAGTGCGATACCCATATCCAAATTTATCCTCAATTCTCGTACTATTCTCCAGAGAATGTTTTACCAATCTCGAAATCCAATGGCTTGCATATACCCACGGTGCCCATGGATACCCATTTATCCACTTGATTCATAATTTTTTAAAATTAGATTATATTGCATTAAAAAATTAAAATATTTATCTAAATAATTTATATAATACATAAAAAATATGAAAATAAATTAATACATAAATAAATGTTTGAACAATGGTAAATTAAAATTTAAATTTAAAAATTGTCTTCTTATCGTAATACTTCACTCAAATGTAACAGTAGCGTACTCTTCAAATGCAATTATAACAAAAATTAATTAATAAAATAACTGAACACTCATATAACAAAATCACTAAACTTAAAATATTATTATATGCACACTTCAATCACTATTATCATATGATTTTTCTCCATTATTTGAAATTAAAGTTTAAATGAAATATTAGAAATTAAATTTTTAAAATTTGACTAATTTAAATAATATATGAAAACTATAATGAAATTAATTTGTATACCCTACGTTAAATTAAAAGTAAAATTACAATTTATAGAGATAATTGACTATATGTAACTCAATTTATTAAAAATTTCATACTATAATTAAAAAAAAATTTTTGAATATCTGATGTTTGAGTTTCGGGTACGGGATTTGATTCGGGTTTATAATAGTAATACTCATACTCTATCCATACCCAAAATAAAATTTTCAAATTTTACCTATATTCTACCCGAACCTAATCAAAACCATAAAACAGATTTAACTGGTTTTGGATTGGCTGTATACCAATTGTGTCGGGTTGATTTTATCATCCCTAGTTAAAAGAGGGAAAAAAAAAAGAAAAGAAAAGAGAGAGAACGCGATTTGTCTTCAAAACTCTTACATCAAAATATTCTACTTACAATTGTACATAATGATTAAAAGAAAAATTATTATCTAGTCCTTCGATTTTGATCAAGTAGACTAATCATTCCCCAATTTCCCCATAACACATATTATACTCGTAAGTTTTGTCTCCATCCACCATGTAAGTCACTCTGTTTATATATGTATTCATGTTTAGCCATGAGTCAAATGATGCAGTCATGTGTCGATCAATGATGGTCTGGTTGGTCTTCTCACTTATGTAAAAAATGGGAGATCGTTCAAATCATTTTGACCGCGAAAAGAATAACAGAGTGTTTCTTCTTTTATATTATTTTATTTTCTATAAAAGAAATATTTATAGAAAAGGTCCACCTTTTATAATAGTTACTTTCAAGAATTTCAAATTATTTTCTCTCCCTCTCTCTCTATATATAGTAATATTCTGTAGGTCAATTTCTTTTATTGTCATTAAAGAAAAAGTTGCAAGATTGCATGCTGCACATAACATGAACTGCAACCTAGGAAAGTAAACTATTGAAACAAAATCCACGGTGCTTTCTCAATAATCACTCAAGACTTAATACTTGAAATTAGTGTATCCTGTGGACTATATGTTTGGACTTGGGTACAATTGTTGTTATAGGTGGCTCAGTATGTCAGTAAGATTGTTACATGCATGCATTCTTTTCCTCTGGCCTCTCGTTTAGCTAATAGTTAACACCAATTGGTTTGGGATTAAAGCTCACCTGAGTTTACAGCTAGTAGTCTCTATGAAATAGGAGGCTGAGGAAAATAAGGGGTTTTCCAATTCATTAATCATGGCTGGAGTACTCCGATTGTTTTGATTAATTTTCTCAAGGGAATAATATGCAATGTGTTAATATATTTACCCAAGAATATTTCTGCGAAGGTTAATGTCCTCTTCTTGATTCTTGAGAACAATATTAGATACAGGAATGTTAAAAACATTCGGGTCTTTATAACAATATTCTTTAGACCCTGCACTATGATCTCTCTCTTAATGGTTTTATTTGATCTGAAGTCACCACACGGGGTGCCTGTAGTCTCAATCAATATTTGACTGGCAGCCTACATATTGATGATGATATGGAGGAGGACCTAGAGACTGATCCAGAACTTGACATGGATAGTATGCAATGTGAATGCCTAATGAAAGGAACATGACAGAACACATTGGTTGGTTGCTGCAAAAGAATAGGTATCTGAATTTCCACCATTTCTTTGCCCATAGTTAGGAACTTGTGATAGGAGCTGAGAATCCATTTACATGCATCCTTTTGTCATCTTTTTTGGAATGCATCTTCTCTGTAATATGGTTTGCCAATTCCTAGTGCATATATAAACTGTTGTGTACGCTTTGTGACATGTAATGTAATAAAGTCCAATGTTGTGCTTAATTTTATCTCACCTTCTCATTTTCCTCTAGATTTATTGCATATTTTGATGTTCGTGTAGTCTTTGGATTAGTATTTTTGAGATTTTGCTCTAGCTTTTACAGCTTTATCAAAAGGAGTAAATTACACAATTTCAAATGGTTTGAAAGTAACATAACCTTGTACAAGATGGATCAGCAAACAAAACTGAGTAAATAACGTATATGAGGGAAGAAAAACCCCTTTTTATAAAAAATTGCTTTAGATGGAGATGCTTTGTCTTTGAATATTTAAATCTCAACAGGCAGATCTGAGACAGTTAAAAAAACTTAGATATATATAAAATAAAAAATAGCTTTTCAAGATAGTCTGGGTGGTGTAGTTGGTTATCACGCTAGTCTCACACACTAGAGGTCCCCGGTTCGAACACGGGCTCAGACAATTTTTTACTTTTTTACTATTTTTTGACTGTACTTTGTTTCTTTGCCTCTGTCATTAAATTCACATAGCTAGTTCAAATGCAGTTACGTTACAAAATGATTAAGACAACGTAGTATGCAAGAGCAAAAGGGACTTTCATGTTGGGAACAAATAATCTTTAGAAAGGGAGACCTAACTGCCACCTTTGGATATGTTGAAATTCAGCTTTGAGAAGCAACTGCTTCCTGCACAGCAAAGTTTGAATTCCCATCCTGAGTTTCAACACCATAAGCCAATGACTGTAAATGGTCATTATTTGACTGCTGACGGGGGTTGTTTCTCCACCTGTGCCCGCCTGTAAGTAACAGGACTTATCCCTTGGAACATAATTTGCTGTTGCAGGAGATGGCTCAACAGGACCACCTTGCCCATAAACTGGATGAGTTGACGAGGCCGTGACCTGGATGGTTGTCCACAAACCCATTGAACTGGCTAGTACGGTAAACCATAATGTTTTCTTTTAATACAAGGAAATGCATTTTTTTTTTTTTTTTTTAAATTGGTTGTATTGGGCCAATGTTAGCCCATTAAAATTGAGGTTCCATGAGCCCATTGTCCCGAAGGATAATGACATGATCCATCAAAACTTTTCTTCCTTTTTAAGTCATAGCTTGACTTGACCAACATGTCACATCATATTATTTAATAGATTCCAAAATTTTTATTATCATATAAAAGAGTTATTATTTGTTTGTGTACTGATAATGAATTAAAAAGAATAAATAATTAAGCTTTTCAAGTACTAAAAAACAATAATCTGGTATCAAAAAAATATTATTAAGACATGGAAACTATATATGTACCAATAAAAAAGCAAAAAATAGTTGAGATGTGAATCATAAAAAAATAAATGAAATTATATTGTTGGGAATAACATAAATGAATCGGTCGCATCCAGTCATAAAAATCAAACCATGGCATGTACCTAGTATTGTTTTTCACATGGGATGGAAAATCTTATTCTTTCTTTGAATAAAAGTATATGGAAGTTCTTCGGTCAATATGGGTCCCAGAGCTCAGCGTGCTTGGACCGGACTAATATATTGAGGGTTCATTCTTACTTACCAGATACTATTCAAAGGGACACTTTGAATCAGTATGATTTTGTAAGTAAAAATTAATTTAAAAACAATATAAAAATTAAGATTAATATATTTTTTTTATTTTTCATAAAAATGAGTAAATAAATAATTATAGAAATAAAAAAAAAAAAACTTTAGAACCATTTAATAAAATTTTGTTTGTGCATTTGGTATTAATTAAGAAAACAAAGTTTTGTTCAAAGAACAAGGGGGCCACCCCAAAAGTCCTATGCATTGAAAAGTGACAGGACAATGCCATAACGTCTTCTAAGTCGATGAATGTCGGACTACGCCTCCGCCAAATGTCACATCTTGATGTTGTTGAGAAAGGTAAAAGCTGGCAAAGGTGTATTCAGTCAATTCCTTTCCAAAAGTTCCTTTTCACTTAAGGTTCAGAGTGCACGCAATATCCTTCCAATGATGCTCAAGCATGCCTCCAATTATCGTCGTGATTATTTGAATAAATTTATATCTCAAAAGATATTAAGAACTAAAAAGAGAACGTATCAAACTAAATTGAAAAAAGAATTTTAGTCCGATTTCAATTCTTTTCAGAAACCGAACAAATTTTTTGCACAACTATTATGTAATGAAATCATTTAATCAGTACATTTCAGTATAACTATTTATATAACTGTTATAATTTAAGTACATTTCGTTGAATATATTCATTAGAACGATTATTTATAATTTATTTTATTATAAAAGTACTTTAAAAATTTAATATTTTTAGTTATAATTATTATATGTATAAAAATAGGTTCAAATCACTGTCATACATATACAGTATTTGATGAAAAATTTTAATAATTTCTTACAATAGATTTTTTGACAAAATGAAATAGTTACAAAGTTGAAAATAATAACCATTTGATCCAAGATCTCGTCATATGTATAAATAGATACATATATAAACTATTGATAATCAAAATTTTTTTCTTTTTTGTGATAGTATACCAAAATAAAAAAAAAAAAAACTGAAGTTAAAATTTGTACCTCAGTCGTTAATAATAATAATAATAAAGCGAGAAGTTTTCAATATAACAATATCAAAAAAACTATTGATAGCATGATGGTAGAGAGTCTTTAATAAATTATTGATAATAAAAGCAAAACAATCTTTGATAGTAGCCAAAGAAAATATAGTTATTTGAAAGATTAAATTTTCAATTGAGTTATAATTTAAATATTTGTCCTTTTTTATCGTAATAATAGATGTAATATTAAAATCAAAGTATAATAAATTTTTAAACTAAAAATATTTGAGTTATGAAAATTGAGTTATAATTTAAATATTTGTCCTTTTTTATCGTAATAATAGATGTAATATTAAAATCAAAGTATAATAAATTTTTAAACTAAAAATATGCAATAACTTTAACGAAAAAGGAGCATTAAATGTATAAAAAATTACAATCATGATTTAAATAAATTTTTAAAAAAATTAATAAATTTATACTAATTGAAAATTGATCAAAAAATTTACTTAGCAGATTAATGATAAAATATTAATACTTTTTAGAGAATGATAAAGCTAAAAATAGCTAACGGTATTAACAAAGCAAACAAAAGGAAATATAAGAAAAAAAAATTTCAATTTATAATTTATAAGTTTAATTATTTTGAAATTTTAAATATAAAATAGTTAAATCTTTTTGTAATAAAATTATAAATATAATTGATTTAAGTTAGACTCAATCAAAACTTCTACAATAAAATTTTCATTCCTGATTAAGATTGGATAAAATTTTTCGATTACAATTTCTAATATATATTTGATTTAATATTAATAAAACATTATATATATATAATATATTAATATTAATAAAACATTATATATATATATGGCTAAATTATTTTTAATGATATTTTTAATTAATCAACTAATAAAATTAAAAGGTTTATAATTAGAATAAAATTAAATTATTTTTCAATCAACTAATTAAATTAAAAGTCTGCAAAGGCATTTTAAAAATCCAACATTCCCCCATTCACACTTTTATATATACTATTGTTTTTATGACGTGTGTTGCACGTTGACTATGCTCGTTACATACTCATTTTTGTAATTTTTTAATTTTTTTATCTATATAATATTAAAGTATGAGTTTTTGCTTATATTAAAATAAATATAAATGGTTAATTTATATTACATTTTGCCGTACAAGGTACTTGTAATGCTACTTTTTATGTATTTAATTTTATTTTTATATAATTAAATGGTTTCAAACTGAATTAATAATGGTAATCATTTTGGCTAGTGTAGTAGTATTACTTATCTAGTATATTAGAGAAAGGAATATATGCCCACACATACACAATATCTTGAAACACCAAAAAGTGACATAAAACGGAAATATACAGTTCTAGTTTTTTCCAGTTTCTTAAACACTATATTATTTCAAGTCAAATAAATTTAGAATATAAGAGAAAAAAAGCAACAAAATTTAAAAAATATTTAATCATTAAGAGGTCATCTATTTATTTTGCAAGGAGATATAAATCTTTTACTAAATTAAAATGATAGTATTATTAACAATAAAACTCTTTTTAGAACTCACCAAACAAAAAAATTCAATATATATATATATATATTATATTTTTTTATTTTTTATATTTTTAAAATTAAAATTTTAAATTGTTCGTTAATCCCACACATACATACGTCACTTTTTTAAAATAAATTAGAAAAGAAAAAATTTAAAAGTTTTGAAAGGTTTAATTATGTGTATTCTATTTGAATTTTTTTAAAAAATATATCTAATCAAATTATACAAACATAAAGAAAAAATATTAATAAAAATAATATATTTTTTTCTTTTTTTAACTCTCTTCTAAATAAAATATTATATATATACTATTCGAAAATTGATTTTTTTTAAAAAATATATCCAATCAAATAATATAAATATATTGAAAAAATTATTAATAAAAAGAATAAATATTTTTCCTTTTTATTTCTCTCCAAAACAATATATTTTAAATTATAATTAAAATATAATCACAAATATTTAAAAACTAAAATATAAAAAACTTTCAAATATCTCCTTATTATATATATTTATTATTAAAAAATTATATTTATTATTAAAAAATAAATTTAAAAAAGATAAAACTGAAAATATCTTAATTATTTATATGTATTTATTTAAAAAATTATTTTTATAGATATATTGGATCAACTAATAAAATATAACTATGACTAAGGTTATTTTAGCATATTCTAAATTTCATTGAGGGCACTATTGAAAATCTCATCATTCCCTCTTATTTCTATATTTATATATATATTATAGATGGAGATTATATTATAATTATTTAAATCTAATAGATTTTAAAAATATTAAATTCTTTTAAAAAATAAATTTTACGATGCATGCTTTAAAACTATATACATGATTATATATAGATGATTATTAAATTTAAAATTATTAGAATTTATAAATATTTTCCAGCTAATAAGATTTGATTAAAGTAAGAAACTAATATAACAAATAAAATTAAATTACGTAGAAATTAATATAACCAATTAAATTACTTTTATTTTTTAACCAACAAAATTAAACTTCTTAAAAATATTATATTATAATATAAATACAAAACAAATTGAAATTAGAATTGTTTTTAGTAGAAACAATATTATATATATTCAAATTTTAATATTGTGTGGTGTCGTTTATTATTTTATTCAATTTTTAGTTTATTGAATCATATATGTATAGGATTTTAACGTGTGGATATTAAATAATTTTAATTAACCAATAAAAATAATGTTATATATATTTATATTATAATAATATTAGAACACATACATGCATAGGAATTCCGTATTATCTGAGCTAGAAGAAGCAGGTTGAGCATTTAATTCCTCAACCAATA